TCATCATCAGGTCGAAACCTTGTCGAAACGTTGTACATTTGCTGTCATGTTAAGCTTATATTAAAGTTTTCTTCATCACCTATTTAAGCCGTCTCCAGCCATTATATATCCATTCTGTGTTTGGCATTACTTAGGAGTAGTTGGAGATGTACCTCTCCAGTTATACCAGATTATACCTTTTGCTAGAATGAAATTGGTGTTGACTGTCCAAATTGGTGGCTGTACTCAGACCTGAGAGAGCTTAGTTAACCATCACTTATGGTTCTTTTAGGATTCAAGAGCCAAAAGGACAGTAGCTACAGCTTGCTGGTGATATTTCCACTTATCTCACTGTGAAATGAAATATGGGAAGATCACTTTGAGTCTACGAGAGTCAGAAGTGTTTATTTAACACACTTGTTTTATTGCTTGTTTTCTTGCATTGCAAATAAGAAAGAACTGGATGAAATAGTCTGAAATTTATAATTGCATTTACACATTATGTGGTTTCTGCAAATAAAATATCATTTTTATACGTCATATCTACATGAATTAATAGCTCTGAAATTTCGAAAAAAAAATACATTTTTCTTTCAAAACATTCCAATAAGGTTATTACCTTACAAAACTGTAAATGTTTTTTTTATTCAAAAAATATCACTCAGTTTCACTGTGCATATTAATCACTGGCGTACAATAAAGTAAATTTCTTACTTTACGCAAATGACAAAATTGATTTTTTTTGCTATTATTAATAAGGTCCGATTTAATATGTTTTAAACAGTTTCATATTAATTTTTATATATTTATTTCTATTGATTTTCTTTTTTCATTAATTAGTTATTTAGGCTTAATGCAAACAAGGCTTAACACACCGCCTTTCCAGGAAAATGAAACTTGATATGTTCGAAAGCAAAGTGATTTATCTAAAACTTTCTCATCTTGTTCCATAAAATACATTTCTTTTCCTATTATTTTTAACTATATAACTCAAGGGAAGGTATAAAATAATAAAATATGCTTTATTGCAAGATTAAAAAATTGAGGACTGTAAATGTTGCAAATGTTTTTCACAAACACCCTTTCTTCTAGAAACACGCCATCAAACTAATCTTTTATCACTTTGTTCCAATATCCATGAAAATCCCCACTAAACTGAAAGCCATATGGCATTTATTATTGAAAAGCTCGGAAAAAAAGCTTTCATAATGTGTTTAGATCAGCAACCTATGACTTATTAAAATTCATACATAAGCAATCATTCACACCATGAAAACCAAATCCTCATTAGCTGCACCCTTAAATGTTGAAGGTGAAATGTATTTAGTATTTCTTACAGAAAACCTGTTGATATGACAACCCTTTCTCCTGTGGACTCTTGACTAATAACAAGCTGAAAGGTCGAAGGTAAGTATTCAGATTCTGCTCCTAAAAATCAAAATGATCACCCTAGCCATATATGTCCTGCCAAATAGTGTCACTACTGTCCCATGGATCACCATAATCACCAGTCAATGTCTAATGTCTCATCTGCCAGCAAAAAAAAAAAATTATAAGCTGGCAAATATTATCCACCATTAGCAACACCATTCTTCTCAAGCTAGTTGCAGAAGGCATTGGCCAAAGCCAAAATTGAGATATTCCGTTGGTGAATGACAACAAGTCACCACAATGACCCTCAGTCACTCGTTCCTTTTGTAGCATAACATCCAAAAGAGAACTTTTGTGACATCCTAATATTCTTTCATACATCCATTTCCTTCAGTACCTAACGTTTCCTCCTGGTTATAAGTGTTTGACCAATGGAAAATACAGTTTCCTCAAGTATGTGGCTTTTTAAGACATAGTAACACAATATATTAGAAGAACACAGGAAAATCTACTGATCAAGAAATAAAAAGCAAATTTCCTCCTTCTCACCCATTACATAGTATTCCCAAGTGCTTCAATTTCACCTAAGAATAAGGTAGGCACTGAGGAGGTGTACATGACAATATTGGTGCATGACCCTGAACAATAGGTAGATCAGATGAAAGAAACATAGTTACTTTATTGACCGACATCCTATGTTAAACATAAATACACTTGCAATATATGCAGAAAAAATTTGAAATATTTTATGTAAAATTACAAAACACTTGGTATGCTGCATACTGCATAGTCAATTTCATTGTGGTTAATGATAAATTGACGTTTTTATATTTAAAAAGATTTTGATTTTACAGAAAACGTTGACATTAAGTAGACTAACTCTACCTTTGTACTGATTTTCTGACTTATGGAAAATTACAGAGGTTAATATATATTAAAACTGAATAAAAATTAAAACTCATATAACATTCACTTAAATACTACCTTCCCTTTCCACAGAGTCTGGCGTAGAGTAAATTGTGTGAGTTAGAAGCTGCCTTAAGGAAGCCTGCCAGATGTTTCTCATTTGAATTCTTAAAAGATAAAGCAAAGTTATTTCTTCTTACATTAATAGCTTAACTACTTAGCCATGTCAGAAACACACTGTTAAGAACAGCTGCTGACTTGAATGCTCATTTAGCAATACTTTACTAATGTCGTAAGAAGATTTCAGTGGTGCAAAACTCTGAGAAATTAAGAAAAATATGCTACAAAGAAAAACAAAAGTCCTGACGAAGTAATGATTAGTAAAATGAGAGCCCAACTTTGAGGTTGTATTTTATTTGCCCAATTATTTATTAAAGACATTTGTAACATTATTATTCTATAAATTGTGCGAGGAATTAGAAATATTTTTTCTGTTTCAGCAATGAGCAGTATTCCTATCTTTATGTCCAATAATTACTAGTGAAAGGACAAAAAAAAGCAAAGAATTTTTAGTTCGGATTCACACTGGAAACATATATTGATATAAATATGTTACTAAAAATTATAACAATCTAACAAGTGTTTACAAAACGTTAAATAATTAAAACAAACGCTGGAGAATAGCATTTTGTGAATATACCACAACATAAAGAAATTCAGTGTTCAGCTTAAACCAGATTTTACACACAGTGCAAGGAAGTTTAGGATCCTTAGACTGATTGATATAAGGCACAAAAAGTAGGGTTATACAGAACTCCTACCACCCATTGTAATTTAATCAAGCATTCCATGTGAATATATATGTCACAGCATGCTGATATTCTGATGAAAGAAAGAAAGATACAGACAACTCACAGATGCACTCGAAAGATAGTAATCGTCGTGTAAAACGAATGAAAACTATCACGTGTATAAATTATTTCAAACATAGTTTATCATATTATTTTGATACACCCTTTTGGTCGTTGAAAATAGTTGTTATTAACTTGTCTTTTATATGATATTGTTAATACTCATATGCTGAATGTTGTATCATTACTATACATTCTGTGTTACATGTGTTGTTCTGTGTATTATACATACATAGATAGATACATACATGGAATAATACTTTTGACACATTATGCTCTTATTATATGATCTGTCACATATTTTGCAGCTTGTGGACAGCTAGATATAACGTAGGATATGTATGTACATAAATTGGTGTACCAATATCAGCAGTAACTGATACTATTGGATAGTTGAGCCCCTGGTTTAGATGTCATATTCATTCATTCAGTGAAACGTTTTAATTAGGCTAATAATGTGTGAAAAATATAAACGATGAATAGTATTACTGTTGTTGTTGGTCTCTCATAGGTTGAACTGGTATACAATGTTTATTGAACGAGATCTGGCGAACACCATCAGGCTTACTTGGTTCAAATTGCACGAAATTTCAAAGAATGCTCATGCACTTTAATTATGGAGCAACAATATTTAAGACATTGACAACTGTTGTGCAAGATCATGCTGAATTTTCAAAATGTACCTATATCTCTTTGTAACGGAATCATTAAATAATCTATAAACTGAATATTTTAATGCTTCAACGTTTCAAAGAACTCGAAACGCTAAACAAGAGACAAAGGTTAAGCCTTGACAATACATGACGAGAGCACATTCGTAGACGAAAACAGTTTGTTTTAGATTCTTAAGAGTTTTATAAGGGTCAAAATAAATGGATATTTTTAAGTATTTCACATATACGTTTTAAGCCAATGCATCACACATATATTTATATATATATAAAGTTATCAGAGAAAAATAAATACTTATCTACAGGTACTTACTAGTGTCTGAAGCATTGTACAAATGAAGGGCTAAATGAGCAATGCGAGGACCAAAACTGTCTAAGCTGGTTGTAACATATTTCTTGTATCTTCTCCACGACCAGTGACGTAAGTCGTCAGGACCTGGCCAGAATTCCACTGCTTGAGCCGAAGTTCCTAAATAGAATATGCATGAACATAATTATAGAGGGATGTGCTGCTTTATGTAACCATGGAGGTAGTATTTTTTTTTGTTCATCAATACTCAATAGCTCTTACATTTTTTTTTGTTCAAAAATAAATATCAGTTCTGAAAATTCGTTTATTAGAATTATTGAACAATATTTAGCCCTTTGTGTTGCTTTGTGCGTAATAATAAACAATAACTTAATATAAACATTTAATGCTTATTAACTCCGAAGGTTTTAAGTTAATATAAAGGGGTTAATTTACTTTTTGAACATGTTTTATTCCCATACATTTTTTATTTTTCAACATATTTGTCTCTTTTTCTTCTTCTTCTTCTTCTTATTTTGAAACATTTAGTTTTAAATATCTTCATATTTTATTAACCTCCTACTGAACCTTCACCATTCTGCTGTTTCATTGCTTATCATTCTTCACATCTGATTGGTCAGTTTTCACAAACTTTTAGGTTTAGCCTTTTTGCTTTTAACGAAGGAGATTACACTCTTCAAATGTGTTCACGCTTATACATTATTTTCAATATCTTTAGCAAATGTTTTCCTCTGTCCTACTTTTTTTCACATCCATAGTCGTAAACTTGAATTAATTATTGCTTCGTATAACAGTAGCCATTCCATAGATAGATACCTGGTGGTTAGGGCGCTCGACTCGTAATCTGCGAGATGCGGGTTCGAATCCCCGTCAACAAACATGCTCGCCCTTTCAGCCGTGGGGGCGTTATAAATGACGGCCAATCCCACTATTCGTTGGTAAAGAGTACTCCAAGGAGTGGCGGTGGGTGGTGTTGACTAGCTGCCTTCCCGCTAGTCTATGACTGCTAAATTAGGGACGGCTATCTCAGATAGCTTTCGAGTAGCTGTGCGCGAAATTCAAACCAAACCGATCCATAGCGTGCTCCTCTGGGGCGAAGGTCATGCCCAAGTTAAGGGGTTGTATAATGGTTCACAGAAACTATTATGAACTGGAAGCTAATTTCTCCTTGAATATATATATACACTTGGAATGATTGAGTATAGCGAAATATTGTACTAGAGCTTTTGTCTGACATAAAATTGTAGTATAGTCACAATCATTTAGCACTACTTGTTGGAAGAAGTATCATGTCTTCTCCCTAGCTTCATTAGCCATAACAGTTATTTTAAAGTTAAGAAATCAGCTACTATTGAAGCAAGTATGTATTGATAGTCCATTATGTGATTTTTTATTTATTTATTTATTTGAAGTTAAGCACAAAGCTACACAATGGACTACCTGTTCTCTACCCAGCATGGGTATCGAAACCCGGATTCTAGCGTCGTATGTCCGCAGACATACCGCTGTACCACTGGGGGGCTTAGCATGTGTTGTTTGAAGTTAAGCACAAAGCTACACAATGGGCTATCTGTGCTCTGCCCATCACTGGTATCGAAACCCGAATTCTAGCGTCGTATGTCCGCATACATACCGCTGTACCACTGGGGGGCTTAGCATTTGTTTGTTTGAAGTTAAGCACAAAGCTACACAATGGGCTATCTGTGCTCTGCCCACCACGGGTATCGAAACCCGGATTCTAGCATTGGATGTCCGCAGATATACCGCTATACCACTGGGAGCGGAGCAATTCATTTTTGAGCAAGAAAAAAATATTGTGTCTCATTTCACAATAGCGCCTCTCAGTCTTTACTTTGCTTTAATAAAAAACTCCCCAAAACAATCATACAAACTTCTGTCAGAAAATAATAATAATTCTTGTCTTCATATATTCAGTATAATAGCAAAAGTTTAAGAGAAACTAATTGACTAAACAATAGATAATTAAAATCATGTATTTATCATTGCATCTTTTGCTTGGTAATCTACGCCTCGTTAATACAACATAAAACTATCGTGAAGTTCAAGTAGATGTTTCAATTTAAACCAAAAAACACGCCGAACTTTACAGGTTATAATTAGATAGAAATCATCCTGGTATTTTCTTCTCGCACCCAAAAGTGAAATTGATACTTTTATGTAAAGCATTAATATGTTACCGTTTCCAGGTTGTATAGTATGTTTGCTTGTTTTGAATATCGCGCAAAGCTAAACGACGGCTATCTGCGCTAGCCATCCAGAATTTAGCAGTGACAGATTAGAGGGAAGGCAGCTAGTCATCACTACCCACCGCCAACTCTTGGGCTACTCTTTTACCAACGAATAGTGGGATTGACCGTCACTTTATAACGTCCCCAAAGCAGATTGCGAGTCGAGCGCCCTAACCACTTGGCCATGCTCAGGCTATATGGATAAATAACTTTTCATTGCTCAGTCTCAAAAGAATTGTTTTAATTCTAACTCAAACCACCAATCACTGTTTTGAGATGATATTGTTAAATATTTTTTTAATCTATTTCAACCAATCATTGTTTTGAGATTATATTGTTAAATAACATTTTTTTAAATCTATTTCAACCAATCATTGTTTTGAGATTATATTAAATAACATTTTTAAAAATCTGTTTCAACCAATCATTGTCCTGAGATGATATTGTTAAATAACAATTTTTAAATCTATTTTAACCAATCATTGTTTTGAGATGATGTTGTTAAATAACAATTTTTTTAATCTATTTCAACCAGTCATTGTTTTGAGATTATACTGTTAAATAACATTTTTTTAATCTATTTCAACCAATCATTGTTTTGAGATTATACTGATAAATAAAATTTTTTTAATGTATTTCATTGAGTGATGTTTTAAATTATGTTTTAAAATCACAATCCCATGCTAGTTAAACTTAATGGATTATTTTTTTATTCCAGTCTTTCTTAGATGGTATTATCGTCTGCACGAGGAAATAAAAACGTGTAACTAGAATATACGCTCTTTCTTTCTCGTAATACTGACAGCGGGTAAATATTTCTTTTTTTTCTGATCTTTACGTTATCCTAGTTGCACAAATCCCTTTCAGGGAGGTACACATCACACAGTCTGAGAGAAAATAGTCTGTAAACACGAAGGAAGCTTATTCTATCCTTTCTTCTAAAAACATTTATAAGCTTACGAGATCATATTTTCATTTATTTCTTGCTGCCGAGAGCCAAACAGGCTACAGTTGCATGTGTTTTTATTTTCGGCCAAACGCTATTTTCTGGTAGTGATTATGGAGAAGGTAGTTCGTAGCATACAAAACCCGGTGACAAAATATACATAGTTTTCTTAAGTCGGCTATGTTTCAAATTAGAAAAAAAAATTGTTCTTTTAAGGAATGATGGGAAACTGAAACAAGTTAGAAAAAACAAAACAAAATTGTTCTTTTAAGGAATGATGGGAAATTGAAACAACAATACATCTAATTTTCACGTAGTACACATTTACTGACTTGGGTTAATTTAATGGTGAATTAGATGCATTGAAATAAAATAAAATTGATGCTTTTACGAAAAACATTAATATGTTACCGTTTCCAGGCTCTATAGTTTGTCTGCTTGTTTTGAATGTCGAGCAAAGCTACACGAAAGCTATCTGCAGTAGCCGTCCCTAATTTAGCAGTGACAGACTAGAGGGAAGGCAGCTAGTCAACATCACCCCCCCCCCCAACTCTTGGGCTACTCTTTTACCAACGAATAGTAGGATTGACAGTTACATTATAACGCCCCCACGGCTGAATTGGCTAAAATGTTCGGCGACGGGGATTGCAGACGAGAATAATAACATGAATAAACTAATAAGAACTATATATATATAAAATGATAGATCGGCTGACACGTCTAATGGAGTAGAGCAGCCTTCATTTCGCTAGTTTAACTGATACATCTAATGGGGTGGAGCAGCCTTCATTTAGCTAGTTTAACTGACACGTCTAATGGGGTAGAGTAGTCTTTACTTAGCTAGTTTAACTGACACGTCTAATGGGGTAGAGTAGTCTTTACTTAGCTAGTTTAACTGACACGTCTAATGGAGTAGAGTAGCCTTTATTTAGCTAGTTTAACTGACACGTCTAATGGGGTGGAGCAGCCTTCATTTAGCTAGTTTAACTGACACGTCTAATGGGGTAGAGCAGCCTTCATTTAGCTAGTTTAACTGACACGTCTAATGGGGTAGAGCAGCCTTTATTTAGCTAGTTTAACTGACACGTCTAATGGAGTAGAGCAGCCTTCATTTAGCCAGTTTAACTGACACGTCTAATGGGGTAGAGCAGCCTTTATTTAGCTATGATAATTTTTCTTACATTTTAAACATTTTAGTTTTAAAATGTCACTCTCGTATACTTGGTAAGTTAAGACACTTAGTTAACTGCGTTACCGTCTACGACTTTTTCTATTGATGACCACAGACTAGAAAATTATAGGTAAAATTGAAAATTTTCGCGTATTTTAGCATTTACTACAATACTTATTATTTATTAACATTTTTCACAGAAGTAAACCCGGTTGATAACTTATATTGACAATTTTATATATAACTCGATATTAAAATATTAGTTTTTCGTATAGAAAAACCTATATGCTCTGCAGTAAAAAAAAAAAAATATATTGAGGCGTCACTCATTTCTAGATTAACGCAAGACGTTAAATAGTACGTATATACTCTATTACTGTTGCAGTAAATCAGCATTAACTGCACATACTTAATAAAGTTTAACGTTAACGTTTTACTTAATTTGAGGTACTTACTTTATAACCTATTTTTTATTAGTGTAACAAGCCTATTCACCTATTTTTTATTAGTGTAACAAGCCTATTCACCCATTTTTTATTAGTGTAACAAGCCTATTCACCTTTAATGTGTGCAATATAAGATTTGCACTCTCATTTCGAAACCTGGTTTCCAAGTTACTGCATTTTGTTATCAGATCGATAACAATATTTGTTTTTTTTTATAAAGCACAATTACTGATACAAATATATCACTCGATTTTCAACTGAGAAATCTGAGGATGACGAATGAATGGATATTACGTATTGTTTGTTTGAAGTTAAGCACAATGCTACACAATGGGCTATCTGTGCTC